TTATATATATATATATATATATATATATATATTTATATATATAACACTTTTTTTTATGAGCAATTTATATAACTCTAGGCTGAATTTGAAATATCCATCACTTTTTTCACATCCTAGAAAATTATGCGATAGTACCATACTTTGAAGACCTTGAAGACTTGTATAAGAAAAATAGGGACATCATGTTTTAACATATTAAAAGAAGCACAATTTGTCATTTATATTAACAATGAAATGTGTTTTGTGCTTCAAGGGACACACTTGCACATAAGCATTCTCTCCCGCTGATATATCCCATCTTAAAGTGAATGTGGTCACAACCTAAAATATATGGTGTTAAAAATACATAAAAAAACATTATTTTTGTCCACATTCACAACCTAAAATATATGGTGTTAAAAATACATAAAAAAACATTATTTTTGTCTTAAAAGTAATTTATTTTTAAATTCATGTTATATGGTGTTAAAAATACATAAAAAAACATTATTTTTGTCTTAAAATTAATTTATTTTTAAATTCATGTTCACCATCGTGGAGATTCTCCATCTCTAATTTTTTGAATCCAAAATCCATTTCTAATATGGATTTTGGATAGAGAACTTATATAAATAAATTAGTAAGTAGACTCATCGAAACCTTATCCTATTAGCACTTATTCACTACTTATATATTGTGTAAAACTATTAGCATGAATTTTTGAATTATTTAATAATTCAATATAGGCAATATAGAAATTGGTCAAAAACTATTTTTAATAGAAAATTTGAATGGTATGGCAACATTAATTATTTATACAAATTTTTAGATTTCTTAAAAATAAAGAAATTATTAATAAATGTGATTGAAAATCATTAAGGCTTCAAAATCTGATAGAACAAAAGATTTAAACTTGCATTCTTTTTATATTACCCAAAGGATTTCCTACTCTGGTAGGAGTATACAATCCATTTACTCCCTCTGGTATAACGCATGCTAGGAATACCTTTTAGATCTTGAATTTTGGGGATGTAAAATTTCAATGCATAAACTAACCTCAGTAAAAAAAATTCTGAACTAAACTCTCTATATACTAGAAAAAATAATGCCCCAAGATTGATAGAGACCATCCAATTTTGAAGATCTAGATGTAAGTTCCACGAAACTCCAAATTCAAATTTTTTCTTTTGTAAATAATCATCAAGTATTTTTTATGTGGTTTACAAAATTTTAAACTAAAATAGTCTTTCTAAATAGGTGTTTTGCGTGAAGGAGTAGATGCATAGTATGCTCCTGCGGGAGTATAGTCTATGTGCTCTTTATATTTAATTTACCATATTATACCATTAGCTTTAAGAAATCACAATGCAAAGATTTTGGAAATTCATCATACTTAATGTTTAGAAGCATAAAAAAAATACTAAAAAAGAATAGATCTAGTCAAGCAATTAAAAAAAGTAGAGATTACAGTTTCAAATTTCCTAATTTGGCAGAAAAGTCAGCATAATTTACAAAACAATATAAAAATTTGTCAAGATAAACTTGGAAATTGGTTATAAACTATTTCCAGTCAAGGAAAATTTTGTAGGGAAATATATGACTTTTTTATATTTTGAAAGTTCTTAAAAGAAAGAAAATGAGTTGTAAATGAAATTTAAAAAGAGCTTCGAGTTCAAAATTTAGAAATATACAACATTTTAATACTGGACTATGATTTTAGTAGCGAAGATAGCATACTTTGCTTTAGACATTGTAAAATACATAATTTAAATTGCGTGAGTTTTTATTCACGATATTGGTAAAAATATCAATCAAGTAATACAGTCATGGATAGTATGCACCATTGACATTTATTTTTCATAACATTTTTAAAAAAACTTGAAAAAGGAAAAAAAATTCATAATTGAAGTGTTTAGGGGCGTTTTGAAGAGAAATGAAATCATCGAGGGCTCGTTGCTATGGTTGTGGACTTACAACAAATAAACCCAAAAACTGGAACATATAAAACAACACACAGAAAAGAAAGGAATTGATACAGTTTCTACGAGGGAAATATAATTTGAATCTAGAAATCAACACTAAATTTTAATCCATAGTTACACACTCCATAATAAAATTAACAGTAACATTTCCAAAGGTGAAGAAC